TTTGATTTTTTCTGAAATACTTGTAAAAAATTAAAAAAAATTTTTTTTAAGATTGAAAAACTTCGCAAGAAAGAAAGGAAACGTTTAAAACGTGAAAGAGCTGCAGCAGTAGAAGAGGATGAGGTAATGCAAACCGAGAATGGAGAAGGAGGTAAAGTTGAAAAGGAGGAAGAAATTACTTCTCCACCTGCTAAGAAAATGAAAAAGAAAAAGGCAAAGAAAGTTGAGGAATGAAAATTTGGGGAAAAAGTTTTTTTTTTGTTATTTAATTTAAATTGTTGTTTTTTTTATTTTGAATTTATGAAAACATTTGTTAATTTTTGAATGTTAAAGAAATTAAATTTAATGAAAAATAAATTGATATTTGAAGTTATTTTTATTTAAGTATTTAAATACAGTAGTGGACAAAATTATAACGGCTTTCGCTTTGTTTAAACCTTTCGCCTTATTAATAGTATTAAAAAATTTATTTATATGCTCATTTTATAGCCCACAAGATTTGCTATAAGATAAAATAAATGAACTTTTTTAAAAATTTGTTCTTCTATTCCATAAGCTTAATGACTTTCTTAGGCTGAAATTATAGTAAAAAGTGTTGTAAGCTTTGGAATAGTAACGATTATTATAAAATCACAAAAAGATATACATCGAAGTTATAGCCTATTTTAAAAAGGATAATTTGGGCTACAAAATGAACCCAAAATTATATTCATAGGAAAATTTTAAAAAATTTTGCAAAGCTTTTAACAGAGCGAGTCTTTATTGTTTTATCCATTACTGTATTAAGGATTAGACTAAAAAAGTATTTTCAATATTTTTAAATTTCAAACATGCTTATATCCCCCGGGTTTTATTCGATTGTGGACATTTTTAAACTTTAGGTGCAATTAGTCTAATCCCTAATTGTAAATACATATTTTAAATTAAATAGGTAAATGTCCATCTTGCATTGTTCGATTTCCTTTAAAATCCCATTGGAAAAGTATGAAGATGATAATAATACAAACCTTTAGAAATTAAAAAAAATTAATTAAATTTTAATTAAAAAATTGGATGGGAATACTTCTAAAATTTATTTTAAAATTAAAAAACCATACCACAACAATTATCATCCAAATTCCCCAGGTACTGTATTGAATCATAAACCAAAGGAGCAAAACAATGGCTATAAGAAATAGTAGAGCCGCAATTAAATTATAAAGTTGTTCCTAAAATTTAAAGAATTTTTTAAAATTCTCCATTTTCTTTTAATTCTCAATTTAAAAACACAAAATTATTTTGGCTTTTAGACTGTGTTATCTTTATTATAAATCTGAGCTAGCTTTAAATTACTTTAAAATATCTAATATTTTTTATTTCACTGATAAAAATGATTAAAATATTTTTATTTAAAAATAATCATTACCGTTTTATGAAAGCGTATACTAAATAAACCAAGCAGAAATATCACAATGTTGACAACAACAACAATAAAGTTAAGTCCACTTACATAACCAAGTCGCCCTTCGCCAAAACAGCTTGAACCGCCATACCTTTATTTAATTTTTTTATTAAAAGTTGGAAAAAAATATTTTTGGATATTATTATTTTTGAAAAATATTTTTATTATTAAACTAATTGGAGTACCAATTAGAAAAAATCAAAAATCTTTTTATTTTTAAATAATCAAGAGAAAAAACCCTCAAACCAATTAGAGCACAAAACCGAACAAACAACCAAACCCAAAACAATTTGGACAATTTTAGTTATTCCTCTATTTGAGGAAATATAATCTGGATGAAAATGAAATCCTTCTCCCATTGTTTTTGTTGTTGATAATTTAAATGAATTTAGTAGAAGTAAGTGGAAATTACTACAAATATTTGTTTAAATCCTTTAAAAAATTTTTTTGAATAATTAGTAAAACTTTAAAATTATCTAATATTTTTGGATAATTAACAGAACAAGAATCATTTTAGGCCCTTAATTCTTTTTAAATAAATTCTCAATAAATAATTTACTAAAATAATAATTGACAGAATATTAATATCTTATATATTTAATTTTTAAATATGTAAAATTGATTATAAATTTATTTAAGATAAGAAAATTTAAGGAATATAAACTCCGTCAATTTCTCTATTAAAACAAACTACAATATAAATTACTTAATTTGGAGTATTCTGGAACGTTTAACCAGAGCAGCAACCCGACCTAGAAAACCCCGACCCGACGGATTTTTTTTGGCAAAAACTCCGGCCCGACCTCCTCGGCTCTACCCCGACAAACTTTAATCTTTTTTATTATTAAAAAATACAGACCCCAAAATTATAAGCAAAGAAACCCAAAATATTTTAAAAATGAAAATATTAAATACTCAAAAAATGTTAAAAATATATTGGTTTATTTATTTACATCAATTTCATAAATATGTATGAAATAAATAATTTCTTAATAAATAAAAATAGATAAAACCTTTATTTAATTTTATTATTTTGATAAGGAAAGGTATCTAATAAACGAAAATAAATAATATTTATAAAAAATATTTTTATTTTTTTGGTTATATGTACATAAAGGGTTGTTCATATGTCCTCAAATGTTTTTTCACAATGTTTCCCCTCTTTTCCCCTCATAAAGATTTAAAAAGTCAAAAGATTAACAATTGGGAAGGTTAATTTAAATAAGGCAGTAAGTTTGAGAAAGATACCAAATTTATTTTTTAAATTAGCTTTCAGACAGATTTGTTAATCACAAGCCGCAGCAATTAGAATCAAAGCTGCTTTGATTCTACCACTATTATTTGCAATAAGTTATAGGTAAATTTTTTCCCATAAAATCTTTTTGGGGGTTCTACTCAATCAAAGCTACTGTACACGCTCAGAATACAGGACCTTAGGTTCTAAAAAATCTGGGTACTTATTGACGTAGAGTAAGGGTTCATATTCACACCAACTTTGTTCCCAAAAAGTTATACCTAAGTTATTTTTAGTATTTTTTTTGATTTTTACCTTTGACATTTTTTAATCTTTATGAGAGGAGAAAGAAGGTATGAAAAAGAAAGACAAACTTTGCGAAAAATATCTGCGGTGTTGGGGGAGGGGAGGGGTATAATGCGAAAGTATCAAAAAAATTATTGTAAATTAAATAATTTTTTAATTAATTTATTTCAAAAATTAATAATAAATAAGTAAAAAAATCATTGAAAAAAATTAAAAAAAAATATTTTTTGAAAATCATTTAACATTTTATTTTTCTTCTTTTTTCTTTAATCAAAACCATTCAATATTCCAAACATCTTGTTTATTATCATTTAAATTAATTAAAACTGGGGAAAGTATTTTTAAATATTTTTTTGTTTTATTTAAATTTATTTGTATTTCACTGTTTTTAATATTTAAATATTTTCCATTTATTTGAATATTTAAATAGTTGTTGGATGTTGGTGTTGTATTATATCCAAGTATTTCAATAATTGAAAGTGGAGGTAAAGAAATAATTGATGTCTAGAAAAATTAAAAGTTTTAGGATTGGAATAATTAATTTAAAATAAAGTCAGATTAAGGAAATCCCAAAAGGAGGGGAAGAAAAAAATATTTTTTTTAATTTTTAAAAAAACTTTTACATTATTTGGAGTATGTTTACGTATAATTGTTAAATTCCCTTTATGTTCACTTGTAATTTTAATTGTAAATTCAAAATGATAAAATTGATGACTATCAAAATTCGAAATAATTGATTCTCCATCATCCCAATAAAGTTGACCTTCGGCGGTTAAAGTTTTTGGGTCTGAATTTAAAATTAGTTTTCATTGTTCAATTTATTACTTAAATAATCTCAAATAAAATATTATTTAATTTTTGACACCAAAAATAAGCTCAAAAAAGGTAGGATTAATAGAGATAACAAACAGAATCAATTGGGAAACGATTCCGCCCTATGTATTTTGTTTTTCAAGTGTCTCTCCCTATAAAAAATTTAGAATTCAGCTATAAATGCTTTATAAATAGCTACAAAAGACCCCCGATTTTAAAAAGTTGTTAATTATAATTTTAATTTAAAAATTACCCAAAGCAGCAGTTAATTGAAAAGGATTTCTTCGAGATTCTTTTGTTGTAAGTCCTGGCCATTGTTTTACAATTATTGAACCACCTTAAAGAAAAATATAAAAATTTATTTAAAAAGTACCTCTTAAAAATGTAGGTAAAGGAGTATCACGAGGCGCATTTAAATTATAATAACCAGAAAAATATTCAGATCCATATTGATTTGCATGACTAATTGAATACCAAACAGAATCAATCGGAAAATAGGCACGGACATTATCTACCTTTAAAAATATTTTTTAAAGATAAAAATTAAAATCATCTAAATAAAAAAATAAAGTATAATTACATTGAGGGTATAAATAAATGAGGGATTAATGTAAATTAACAAGATCACCTTTAAGCTTAGAAAGAAGACCTTTTTTTTAATTTTTTAAGTATAGTTTTTTTCAAATTATTTTATTATTTTTTAAATTAAACAATTTTTTACCCCAGGATCCAAAACGGGAATAACCATCAAAGAAGATCCCCACAAAAATTGATAATTTAAATCATGAGTATTAAAATCATTTGGAAATTCAAAGAAAAGTGGCCGAATAACTGTGCCCCCTTTGAGTGAAGCTTGAAAATGTAATCTGAAAAAATATAAAATTGAAAAAAAAAATTTAAATAAGAATTACGTATATAAGAAAGGTAAATGTTGATAACGAAATAAATTAGAGACGCGTGTTGCAATTTCTACAGATACCCATTGGCAGGGGTCCTGTGGAGGTAAACCGTCAGAATTGTGATTTCTTTAAAAAAATAAAAATGTTTTTTTTCGACTAACAATTAATTTTCTAACCTAAAGAAAGGATGAAATGCCCCCAATTGTTGCCAACGAAGGCAAAGTTCTTCGTTTGAAGGGTCGTTAAAACCACAAACATCCGCCCCCATATGTGGAATTCCTTAAAATTTTTTAATTAAAAAATGAAGTTAAAAACCACCAAAAATATTAAATTCAATAACGCTAATTATGGAAGCCCGAAGATCAGTCCATTTAGCAGAATTATCCCCACTCCAATGACTTCCATATTTACCAGAACCAATAAATGTTGAACGTGAAATTAATTCCCCCCTTTTGCCTGTTGCTGATTCTACAACAAAAATAGGTAAACTTTAAAAAATAATTTATTTAAATTGATAAAAATATTTAGTAAAATTTTATAAAGAAAAAAATTATTTAAGAGGACTATATTTACTAAAAATTATCTAAATTTACCCAAAGCTTTTCGAGTAACAATAGTTTCGGCCAATCCATATAAATTGTGCGTATCATATAAATTATAATCTCCCCCTCTAGTTCTACCAAGCATACAAAGAGTTTTTTCACTAAGAAAACTTTTCCATTGATAAACACTTATTGTCTTTAAATTAAATTTAATTCTCAGTCTTAAAAATAAATTAGCACCTTATATGGAGGATTATCATATTTAGAATCAGGTCCATTCATTGGACATTTTAATGTTTCTAAGCCTTTTTCTCTTGCTTGTTGATTTGTTGCAAAATTTGAAGGTTCATCCATATCAATCCAAAGACCATCAAAAGGTAACTAATTTTAAGAAATTAAAAAAATATATTTTTAAATTTATTTACTATGTCATGAAATCTCTTTATTTCGTCAATCCACCTAAAAATTATTTTTGAAAAAATTTAAATAATTATTATAATAATATTAATAAGGTAAGGTATATTATATGATTTTTTATTAAAAGTGTAATATTTTAAAATATATAGTTGTTTCTGGATTGAGAGCAGGGCTGGACGCAATTGAAAAAATTCCGCAGCCGCAATTTTCATTTTAAAATCCGCAGTCAAAAAAACACGCAATTCTACGCAATTCGTAAATGCGTCTAGCCCTGATTAGGAGGTTTTATTTTTTTAATTTCCGATTTTTACTTCATTTTTCTTCCAAGATTTGGACATTTATTAATAAATTTTACAAATTAAGTACATATTTTTTACCATTTTTGTGTTTTGCCTTCTCTGTCAAAATCGAAAAAATCAGGAAAAGCAACATGTTTATCAGGCCAAACAATTCCCAGCATTATTTTTGTTGATTTAGTTAAAGGATATAATTTCTGTATAGAATTTTGAACTTGATCAAAACGTTCCCATTCAACAAATTTAGCTCCACTTTTAATTCCTCTTTCAAAAACATCATAATTAACCTTTAAAAAAATTCCAAAATTAAATATTCTTTTAATCCACCTGTATTGCTGGATCAACAATTGGAACAAATCGGAGCCCTTTATCATGTAAATAATTAATATATTCTTTCATTGCTACCCATTTCTATTAAATTTTTTCAATTTCCAAAATCTCTCTCAAAAAATATTTAAATACCTCAGAATCAACACTAAAATCCTTATAACGTTCCATATAGTCAATATCAGCAAAAACAACATCAATAGGTATTTTAGCATTAATCATTCTGTTTATTGTTTGTTTTAAATCATCCAAACCCTTTTAAACAAACAAAATATTTTTATTAATTTAAATTCATTTAATACTTTATATCCAAATCTACTAAATTGATAGCCTAATGCCCAATAAGCAGGCATACAAGGGCGGCCAATTATTTGTTGAAATTGTTGGATAACCTGTTCTGGGGTAGGTCCTGGCAAAAATAAAATGTCGAGTCTCCCGCCAATTGTTCTAAAAATTAAGAAAAAATTTTTTGGATAATTTTTATATATTTTTAGATTGTGACAACGAGATAGATGTAGATGAAAGTTAATGTTTGAGTGTCATGCAAACTGATTATCATGTACATACATAATGAGGATTAGTATACATATTTTAGACAAAAGAAACATTTTTATATCCTACCTATAAATTAAGTGTGGCCCAGGTCCCGTAGTTATCTCCTGTGCATTTGAATTTAAAATTAAAACTCCGTGTGCCTTTCCATTTGATTCTAATCCAATATAAAATGGATGAACACCTAAAAATAAATAAATTTTTTAAAATAAATAAATTTTTCACCATATAAATTGGCCGAATTGGGGTTGTAATAATCTGGTGGTTGATCTCTACCAAGCATTCCCCAAGTTGTATATTTTGAAAAATCATGCTAAAAAATTTAAGGAAAAGTTATAAAAAATTAGGAAACCCACTTTTAATGACTGATGTGGACTTTCTCCAAATCCATATATTCTATCACTAGGTAAATAAGTAGCTATTTGAATATACTGATCAGCAAAAAGAAGGCCCCCTTAAAGAAACTCTTCATAAAAAATTAATTTAATTTTAATTAATTACCGATAGAAGTATCCCATATTTTTGTTTTATTCCTAACAATATTAAAAGAAAAAAATTCATCAGAATCACTCAGACCATTCAATTTTTGTTTAAATTGAGGGAATATTTCAATATTTAATTTATCTTCTTTTGATGTTTCAATTTTTGAATTTAAGTTTAATTCGATTGGAGGAATAAAACTAGAAAATTATTAAGGGAACTAATACTTTTTCACCTTCCTTTACTTTTAATTAAATTAATTACCGTTTATCATGTCCAATTTTAACATAAAGAGCAGAAGAAATCTCTTCAACTTCAAATTCCAATAATTTAAAATCTTCCCCGTAAGGATTTCTGGCTCCTTTAGTTCTCTCTAATAATAATTTATTTTTGGTTAAACGTTTTTGAATTCGATATCCAGTTTTTGGTGGATAATAGCAGAGAGGAACAGAAGAATGATACTTAAAAATAAAAAATAATTAAATATTTTTTAATAAAAGATAAACAAAATACACACTAAATTAGAGCTCGGACGGTAAATTAAAGCCCGTATTGAGATCTCGATAACCAAGATTTCGAATCGAGATCTCGTTTCGGTCCGGGTTCTACACTGAATATACCTCATTTGTAAATAGATCTTCTTTGGTATTTACACAACGAGGTCCGATTGTAGTAGAAATTAAAAAAATTTATGGCCCACCCATGTCAGATAATAATTAACAAATCTAACTATCACTAAGTACAGTAATTTAATTATATCCTATTCCGTAAGGATAATTAAATTTTCTAAAAAGTTTATTAAAATAAATAACCAAAAATAAATTTAGAATTATATTTGCTTTAAATTAAATAAATTTATAATTACTTTATCATAATTATCATCCCAAATACATCCACGTTCTAAACAGTTGAATTTATTTTCACCCGGTATTGGAGCACAATCAATTCTAAAATTTGGTGCAATTAAAGTAGAAGAAGTTAAATAAATTAAATTAATTAATAAAAATAATATATAGAAAATTAATTTATTTAATAAATTATTGGCCATCATTCTTAAATTTTTATGAAAATATTTTATTAAATAATTTAAGCTTTGGAAATGAAAGGAAAAATTTTAAAAAACAATTGGTAATTTGATGTTTATTAATAATTAAAGAAATAAAAAATAACTACACATTAGTATTTTAAAATTAAAAAAATTTTTCAATATTGGTATTTATATTTATGTAATTAATTTGCTTATTCTCTCATTAATTTAAATTGAATAGTAAAAGTGATAATAATTTGAAATTATATTGATAGAAAATAGTAGGTAAGTTAATGTTAATTTTTGTAAAGAGAATTGTTAATAAATAAAATGCTTTAAAAATAATTTAAAAAATTTAAATTATCTAAATTAGCGAATAATATTTTAAATAAATAAATTAAATAATAAAAAAATTAAAGTGGTAAAATATTCTTAAATAACTTTAAAAAGAGCAAATAATTATTTACTAATCTAACTAATGTAAATAAATATTCAGAAAGAATTCGAACAAATTTTATCGGTAAATAAATTATTGGGAATATTATCTAAAATATTTCTGATACCGGCAATTTACTATATTAAATATTAAAGATTAATTTAAATAAAAATATTTTCTTTAAAGTTGCCGATTTTGTGTTTAATTATTTTAAGTTGATCTTTAGGGCTATAATAACCTAATACATTTACTGCCATATTATTTTCTCGCCGCATCGATTAAAGCCACATTTCACTATTAAAAATCACAGACATAAATAATTAAAAGATGTTTATTACAGCATTTAATAAAATATATTAAACAAAATTTAAAAAATCCTTTGCTTAAGGGAAACATTAAAAACTAAATACGATGTACAATTTCGAGAACTCTATAAAGAGTAAACTTAGTAGTTATCCCTAGGCTAACTACTACCCGTCTCGGGCTAATTCAAGGAAAATTCTTCATAGAAGCCCCGGGCTTGTATTTTTCAATACCCCTCATTTAGTGGGCTTCTAGTAGGGAATGGTTCTATTACGGGATTTACGGTATATGGAGTCAAATTTCTCCGTATAGAGTTCATAAAATTACACACTTATCTTTTAAATGTTTCTCATAAGCGAAGAGAAACATTGACCTTCACAAAGACAAAACTTTTTGTCCCAGAAGAGTCGGGGGCCAACTACTACACATTTACGATCAATTAAGCCAATAAAACTTTTCCCAGCATAATTAATTAAATTTTTAATAATTTGTTTTAGTGTTACGCCGGAAGTTCCGGTTTTGGCAGGTCGGAAAAATTCATGGCCTTCCAAATTTCCCATAATTTTCGCCTGCAGCGCTAAGAAAGGAAGACATGTGTATATCGGAGGCCCGGAACCAAAAAATTAGATCCGGTTCCGGATCTGGTCAAAATTTCAGTCCCGCTTCCGGCCAAATTTGCGGTTCTGGCGCAACACTAATTTGTTCTGATTGACTTTATTGTTATACAATAAAGTATGTATTTTCATTGCGTTTTTATGGCAATAAATAAAATATTTTTAGATGAATTTTTAATTATAAAATGAATCCAGAAAATTCCCAAAGAAATTCTTCTGTTCAAAATGCGAATGAATTAAATAGTCAACGTTCTACTGGTTTTTAATTAATTAAAAATTAATTTTATATTTTAATTAAATTAAAGGGGTTAAACGGTTATTGAATGAAGCTAAAGAACTTTGTAAACCTAATGAATTATTTCATGCTCAGCCTTTGGAGGTTTTCTGATTTTATTTTGTAAAATATCTCTTTAAAAACGGGTACACCCCAAGGTACCGAAAGGCCAAGGTATCGCCGAACTATAACTTTGCTCAAAATGGTTGAATCCGGGACCCTTGGTATGGTTCGATGCGCCTCGACGAGCTGAATCGAACCATACCAGGTTGTCCCGGATTCGACCATTTTGAGCAAAGTTATAACTCGGCGGTACCCTGGGCTCGCGGTACCTTGGCCTGTTCCCTTTAAAAATAATTATTTTTTCAAAATTATTTTATTAGGCAGATAATTTTATGATTTAAATAATTTAAAATATTTTTAAAGGAAAATCTTTTTGAATGGCATTTTACTGTTCGAGGACCTCCAGATACTGTTTATTCGGAGGGTGTCTATCACGGGCGAATTTTGCTTCCTGTTGAGTATCCAATGAAGCCACCAAATTTACGTCTTCTAACGCCGAATGGAAGATTCGAAACAAATAAAAATATTTGTTTAAGGTTTTTTTTAAATTTTACTTGAAAATTTCTTTCGGGAGACAGGCTAAAATCAGGAAAATAAATATGGAGAAATTCCAAAAATATTTTCATTTCTCTTTAATATTCGTCCAATATTCTCCCAAAAATATTTTTTTATTTTTCCAGTATTTCTGGTTATCACCCCGAGACTTGGCTGCCGTCTTGGTCAATTAGAACAGCTCTGCTTGCACTTATTGGATTTATGTATGTTTTTGAATTTGGCTGCTTTTTAAATTTATTTTTAAATTTTTTAGGCCAACTCATTCAGCTGGAGCACTTGGAAGTTTGGAGTGTAGTTCAGAAGAAAGACAACGATTGGCAATAATGTATATATAGTTTTTTAAAATAAAATTCTGACAAGGGAACCTTCCGAACTGTGACCAAAAATTTTTAAATAAAAATTATACCATCGTGTAGAGCGTAGTCGATAACCTATCAGAGTTTCTGGCTTTTTTGGATCCGACCCCCATTTCGAAAAGTTATGGTGTTTTGAAGTTTTCGACTTTTTATAAAAATAATATAAAGCTTGAAAATTGGAAATTTTAGTCCATAAAAAGCTTAAAAGTTTAGTTAAAATTATTTTTAATTTTTTTAAAAGGAGTTTGGATTGGAATTGTCCTCAATGTGGAATTAAAATGCGAGATGTTCTTCCCCAAATTGAGAAAAATGAGGACACTAAACGATTAATTGAGGAAGTAAAGAATGTTTCTTGTAAACAAACTGTTTCTCTTGAAGAAAATTCATCTTCCCCAGAAATTGGTAAATTAATTTTATGAAATAAATTTTTGGAAAAAAAATAACGGGAAAATTATTATAGTTATTGCTGCCCGTAGTCAGGATTTTTTTCGGGGAGTAGGGCCAAGGGGAGAAAATTTTTTAAAATTTGAAGGCCAAAAAAATTCACTCAATCACTTCCCCAAATTTTTCCCCTTTCCCCATTTCGGGGAAGGGAGGGGAATTCCCCCCTACCCCCTGGCTACGGGCCTGTATATGGTGAGAGATTATGTTAAAAAATTCTTTAAAATTCATTCCTAAAGTGAAACCGAAAAATAGTTTACAAATAGCTTGAATTTTTTAAATACTTTTCAATTTTTTAAAGCTTCTACTCTTGAATCCATTGTGAGAGAAGTTGTGGATGCATCAGAAAATAATTTAATTAATGACCCTCCACAACAAAGTATTTTTATTATAAAAAATATTTTAATTAAATAATTTCCCTTTTAAGTCGAAGAATCAAACCAACAACAAATTTCAATTACCAACAATAATATCCTTCCAAATACTCAACAACAACAACAATTAATTCAATCCTCTTCTCGTTCCTTTCTTTTAGAAAATCCTCTTATTTGGATTTTTGTTTTGTCAATATTATTTTTTGCTTTGTTCTTTCGACGTTTATTAAGTCAAAATATTGAGGGAATTTAAACAATTTTAAAATAAAAGAAAGAAAATTGAAAGGAAATGAAGAAAGAAATTATTTCATTTTTTGAAAATCGGGTTTAATCTTTTCTTTTAAATTGAGGTTTTTAAACTAGAGATTAGATAATGTGAATTAATTATTTTATTAAAATTGTCTTTTAATGTTACATAATATTTCCAGATTTTGTTAAATAAAAAAATTATGTATCTAACGAGAGTTAACCAAAAAATTTTTTTGTGAATGGTTTTCGTTAATTAAATTATCCGCTTGTCGTCCAAACGTTTAATTTCTCACTCAATTCACCACGGTGAATTTATTATTTTTGTTTCATTCGAGAAAAAAATTGGGCGATCACTGCACCGACTTCCGAACCGTATGCAACCGCCATGGAAGGCCATGTCCAGGCCGATGTTCTTGGGAGATGTCCCGAACCCTGGCATACTGAGGCCAAGCCTTAAGCCACTTCCAGTGTGCCCTGACTGCGGCGATACGCAAATCATATTCGCACATGGTTGAGAGAAGAACATACATAGTTAAATTGGGAGGAGAGAATCAAAGCATATAGAGTTGTTTGTGAAGGAGAGAAGTGGGTGTACGAAATATAATGGCTGTTTTGCTTTATTGACTTGCTGAGGCGAGAGTTTAGACATTGAATTTGGATTGGGAGTGTGACAGACATTTAACATTGAAAAGTTGGTACAAACACAGAGATGGTGAGTGGGAGAAAGCACACAGCAGACACAGAGCAACGCAGCTGCGAACACGTCGAGGCAAGCACTGGCCCAGGCGGGAAACGGCGCCGAGCAGGATCGCCAACATTTCCCTTTCTCTTCTACTTATATATAGTGGAGAGATATGAGTAGGATTTGTTGATGGGATGTAAATTGAGTTAGAGGTGTTAAATTGTGTTATACTACCACATACACTCGCTGGCCAAAAGTATTTCCCTAAAGAAGTAAAGATTTGAAGACCCTTTAATTGACTAGCAAGAAATTAACGAGAATGCCAGCCTCGATTCCTCAGTCAGTAGATAATGTTAGATAACGTTTTTAAAATTAAACAATTTTTATTCAACCGAAAGAGCTCGTAAAGCTGAGTAGAATGACACTAAAATCAGCATGATTCGACGATTCTGAACAAAATTATGACCAACTGAATCTTCGATGGAAAAACTTTTTGTGCTGCTACGGAGGGTATGTATGCCGTAGGGTCTTCGCTACAGGTAGTCTTCGATACACGATGGCCGTGCTTCGTTCGCGGCGACCGTAGCGAAGGGGTGGCCGTCGTTCCGTTCGACATGCCCGGCTTCCTCCGAATCGGCAAACTTTTTCCCGGGGGCCTATGTAAATAAATTGTTTAATTTTTAAAAACGTTATAAAGTGTGCTTTAACCTACATACACTTATCAAATCCTCTTTATAAAAAAGTGCCAATTTAAAATATGAATTTAATTTATGTACATATCAATTTAAATATAATATACATAAAATTTAATGGAATTTAAATAAAATCAAAGTGAAAAATAAAATAATTTTCGGGTCTTTCATAAAGTTTTGTTTATATTTTTAATCCATTCATCAACTTTTTTAGGGTCAAAACGATCATTTTTATTTCCAACATAAAGGTAAACATTTGGCCATTCTGCTTCTGTATATATTTCCATAGATTCCTTGTTTTTGTTACTTTTATCCCAAGCAAAATTGCTTGTATGGTGATCTTTTTTCCATTCTTCCTTTCCATAATCAGACTTTAAAAATAAACAAATAAAAATATTATTGTAAAACCAAGTTTAATAGTTGTTAAATATCTCCCTCCCCACATACAGTAGTGGACAAAATTATAAAGACTCTTTGCTTCGTTTTGTTTAAATTTTTATATATTTTTTAAAAATTTTCCTATAAGTATGATCTTGGGCTTATTTTGTAGCTTATTTTGTCCTCTTTAATTTGATATATAACTATTTTATATATACTTTTAAAATTTCATAATAATTAATATTATTCCAAAGTGGCACTTTTTTTTTTGTCGCGATAAAATTATAGACTTTTAATCAAAATTTTTTTTTCAACAACAATTTCTTTTCTGCTTTTCCAACAACAATTTCTATCCACAACAATTTCTAAGGGCTTAACTTACAATACTAGATCAAATATTAAAAGAATGAAGACCCATGGTCCAATGTACTTCTAATGGAATGAAGCATAAACTAAGTGGTTTTTGGCGTTGGATCCTATGAACCTATAAGGTACATGTGGTTAGATGTGGGAATTTGGTACCTCAACAATTTTATAATAATCACACAAAACATGAAAAAGTCTTCCATGCATTTCTGCGGCACAGATTTTCCCAGACAATTTTGGATAATTCCAACGAAGACGTTGTTTTATCAAATGACGCATCCCACCGATTGAAGCATTTTCCGTTGAATTTGTTGTTTTATATAAGTAAAAAAGATCAATTTTGTTTCCATCCACATAAACACTTAATTCAAAAGAATTCTTTAATCGACCTAGAACCCAATGAATTTCGAAGATTTTTGAGGTGAGTATTTCACGTAGAAGAGAACTTAAAATATGTAGTTATTTTAAAATTGTACGTAAATACATAGTATACATATTTATTTTATCAAAAAACATTTTTACTAAATTGGGAACTTTTGGATGTATGGAATTTACTAAGTTACATAAATTTTCATAATTAGGTAGTTAAATTCCCAACAGTGGTTATAAACGGAATAATTAAAATAACGTATAACCCTTAAATCACGATTATGCATAATTATGTACAACCCGTAGAATAGATATAATCAACTAAACAATTCCCTATATAACTGCCACTATTTTCTCGAAAGAAAAAGACAAAATATTAAGAATTTTAAATGTATTAAGAATTTTCAAAAATAAAAAATATTAACTCAGAGTGATCATCACTGAATATACCAACATCGGTGTCTGTAGTGTGTGGAATTAATGAACATTCTCTTGCCCAACCTTTAATTTAATGAAAAATACGTATTAGTATTTTACAGGTAATGGAGGATGGCAGAAAGATAACCGCTGTGTATTTTAAATGTTTTTATAAAAACAAGAAAATGTTGGGTGTTACTTGGAAAACAAATTTTTAAGTCAAGTAAATGATTTAAAAAATTAAATTACCAAGCAAAGTTCCACCCATAAGAAAAGCTGTTGCATTATGTTTTTCTAATAAATTAGAGAATTCAACAAGTCTGTCCAAGAATTTTATAGGTATTGCTCTACGTGTATATTTGGGTCTTTCAAGCAAAGGGGTACATTCTAAATACTTTCCGTTTTTCCAATCTCTTTTAAAAGCTTTCCAATCAGCAGGCATTTCAACATTTTTTATATTTGATTGGGAACGATTAAATCTTTAAAAGTATTTAAATAAAAATGTAATTAAATAAGGACATGCGTCCCAGGGTGGGCTTATTTCGCATTTTTTGGCACGAAAAGTTTCGCATTCCGCATTTTATTTTTAGATTTCGCCCAGCCCTGATACGTCCCATGTTTATGCGTCTCAAAAACTTTTATATGTTCCATCGAAGTAGTATAAACAACCCAAAAAAAGTATAGGCGTCACATCAGAGAATAGAGGGATTAGGGGTAATTAAGCATAAATTTAGTGGGATAACAGTGATATCGAGGAACCAAGGTATTTTTCTTGAGAGAAAAAAACTTTTTAATTTGAAATTTTATCTTGTGTTAATTTATTTTATTTTTTAAAGATGTTGTTAATAAAATTTAAATATTTATACTTTTGCCAAAAATTAATTTTCACCAAAAATATAATTTAAATAATTACCTCCTAGTTGCAATTAAATCTGTTGAATTGTTAACATTTTTAAAAAGCCAAAAATCTCTATTTTCAGAAATATCCAAAATATATTTAATTTCAATAAATTCATTTGATATTTGCGGATATCCATCAGGTATTGCTACAGACACGGGATATGTACAGTTTTTGCCATTATTTTGTTTTTCCAAACAATTAAAATCAACAATTAATGGTCTTTAAAATAAAAATAATATTTGTGATTTAAAAAATATTTTTAAAAAATTACCTTATAAATGTGTCATAATTAATTTTTAAATCCTTTCCTAAATTATTGTTATAATAATAACAAAAATTTAGAAAGAATATAATTAAAGTTAAAATAAATAAAAAAATAATAAAAATATATTTAATGTTTAAACGCATTTTTAATTAAATAATTTATAAAATAAAATTTAAAAAATTACATTCCCTATTAGGGATGGGGGAGATGGAGAAGTGAAGGGGGGGGGGAGATGGGGGGGGGGGGGGGTAAAAAATATATATATATATAATGCGTGTTGAGCTAAATCGATTTGGCAGTCATGGATGTGATAATAGCCAGTCAGTCAGTCATTGAATAAATTAAAAAAAATTTTTTATCGAATTTTTTTATTGTCTAGAATATATTTCATGTCTGTAAATTGTCAATCAATGTAATGTATACGAAAAGCCAAAACCGAATATTGAAATTTAAAATTGATTTTAAAAAATATTTTTTATTTAAAATTAAAAACTTAAAAATTGACTTAAAGTTTTTCTGTTAGAATTACTAGAAATTAACAAATTCTGTCTTTACCGTGAAAACTTCAACGAATTGGCCTTAGTCAGAATTACAAGTTTTTTCTAGATCTTTGGCTGACGATCATAAGATAAATTAAAAGAAATTGTGGCGCTAAAAGAGTGAATTGTATTTTCCATTTTCGCTGTTAGGTCCAACTAAATTTGATAAATGCGTGTTGAGATTAAAGATTCCAAAGAGTCAGAATCTCTAAATGTATTAAATATGAAATAATTATTGTAAATATACGTGAAATAAAAATTATTTTAAAAGTCTTTCATCAAATTATGTAATTTTATTTAATATTAACAAATACTCGATGGAAAACATTAAGGAAATTTTAAAGTATTTTCACATATTTTTTTAATATTAAATCAACCATCAGACTTCCTTTAAA